AAGTAACAAAACGTTTCAGTGTCTGCTACTGCCTGCTAAATTGAAGGAAAAAACAACAGTGTTGGGAAGAGAGAGAGAGAGAACACATGAGGACAAGAGGACCAGAACCTCTTTAATTTTATTTTTATAGAATGGTGCTTAATTTGGGGTTTCCTGGAGCTATGGGACCCAGACTTGTGAGAAAAGTTTCGGTCCAGGTGGTACCACTGTTTCTAAGTGGGTAGATAGGTTTGCAAGTTTACTCTAGAAGCCTCTGTGAATTTACTTTTTCAAATTTTATTCCAGAATTGCTGTATTTTTCCCACTACAACTTGCATATGTATTTAAACAATTGTGTTGGCTGGCAAACATGCAGCAGATCCCATTTTCTGACATAAAGCTAAAGTAATAAGAAATCTATGTGTTGAATGCTTTTGCTTGTCAGGCAAAGAACCTTTCTTAGATTGAAGAAGCAAGCTTGTTTCTTACTCACAAATACTGAATACACATTCTGTGTGTTAGATTAGAAAAGATGAAATTTCTAAAATTTCCAAATTTTCTAAAAGCTGATATTAAGATATATATCTCAATTTTAGTTCCTACCTTTGCATGTTTCTTCTCTGATACAGCCACTGCCGTTTCCAGTGAACAGAATCCTGTAATCATAATAGCTGTGGTAGCTGTGGCAGGCACAATTATCCTGGTTTTCATGGTTTTTGGCTTTATCATTGGACGAAGGTACTACTTTCAAGTATTAAGATGTTTAAGGTAGACAGGAATTGGAAAAATTCAAATGCATATCAATCATTGGTAAACAGATGCTTTATATAGATACACCTGTAGAGATTCCGGCTTGCCAAAGAATGAGCAACTGTAGAGATTTTTAATTGAAAAGCACAAAAATTTTAGATCACAATGCTATTTTGCTAAAAGTATCTGATTCAGTTCATATCCATATTCTTAGTTTTAATTATGACTGTATTACCAAAATATTACTTGTTTATATATGTATTTAAAATAATTTTGGCTATCTTAAAGGACAAAGGCCCTTATCCCAGGAAGAGTTACTACTTACTTGAAATGATTTTCTGACTATTTATGACAAAGGACCCAAAGAACTATCTATCATAATCTGCACTCCATTTTCTAATGAATCCCTTCATTTGCCTCTTTAAATAAACTTCTGAGAGATCTTTGGGCAAACACATTAATATATTACAGGCCATATATGGAATCAGCCATTGGTGGTCACTGAACACTTACAGATACATAAATTATCTATCAGCTGTAATAGTATATGTACTTTGAAATAAATATGATAAAAACCTAGAAAGAATTATATTTCCTATTATGTTCATATTATTATTTCTAACACATTAAAGTATGACGCAATTTTAGTTAAAACTTGTTTTTTCCCTAGACACTGTGGCTATAGCAAAGCTGACCAAGAAGGAGATGAAGAACTTTACTTTCATTGTAAGTGCTTTGCTGTTATTTTATCCAGGAGTTTCCATACCAATTACAGTAGATTGGTCCTGGCACTAGTAGAACAGTAACAGTGTTAAAAGAACATTTTTGCTGAGGAACAAACATTTTAAAATTGTGTAAGCAACAAATGTAAAGTTAAAAACTTACCAAAGTTCTTCCAAAATCACATCATAGATTTTATTACAGGGCTTTGATATACAGGTAGACCTTGCTTAGCAACCACAATTGGGACCAGCAACTCCATCACTAAGTGCTGCAAATGCTAAGCGGAAAATCATGTGACCGCCATGGGCTTACGACCTCATTTCCCCTTTAGTTGTTAAGCGAAGTACCACAGTTGTTAAGCAAAACATCACATGATCACAACTTAACGATTTTACTTCCACCTTCTCTACTAACTCTGCTTGTCGCAAGCCAGTTGCTAAGCACACAAATGGCAATCTTGTGACCTCAGGACATTCCAATGGTCATAAATGCGCACTGGTTACAAAACACCCAAATGGCAGTCACGTGACCATGGGATGCTGTGAGGGTCATAAATGCAAGGATTGGTCACAAAGCTTTTTTTTTTTTTTAAACACCATTGTAATTTTGAATGGGTGCCAAATGAAGCCGCCAGTAAGTGAGGACTACCTATATGCTTCTTTCCAATCCACAAACATTTGGCTGCTTTTGAATGAACATTCCATAGTTTCTTAATCATCCTTCCTGAGCAAACGTGATTGATGTAATCAGTAGTTGTTGGCCCAGCAAATTTTTGATTATGACATTTATAGTTCCTCAGTCATACCAAAACTGAAACTCTAAAGATGATGAACATAGATGATGATGATGATGATGATGATGATGATGATGATGATACTAATGCTTCTTTCAAAATTTGTTTTCAGTAAATAGCCAGCATGAAATGCAAAAGTATTTTATGTAGAAAATAGCCCAATCAATCAATTAAGATTTAACTGCATCCTTGAATTGTATCAACCAGTATTTTAGTTCATACAGGCAAGAAATATTTTTGAATTGTTTAAAGACAACATCAGTAATTGTCCGTGTGAATGTAATCTTGTGTACTAATGATGTGTATTTTATTTATTTCATTAAGTCCGTAATCCTCAGCACTTCCATAGGAATAATGAATCTGAATATGTATCCATCAGATTACAAAGTTTTCTAAATTTTGTCACTGAATTTGTCACTCAGAACTAATATTTGATAGTATTTAAATTTTGAATTTGGTTTTAATTTTATCAATATTTCTGCTGTCTTTTATATTCTATTTTATTGTGAGCTGCAGTAAGTGCTTATATAAGCAGAAAGATGGAGTAGAAATATATAGGACAACATTATATATTAGGGGAAATTGCTTGCCAAATATGGACGCTAAGAATATGGAGGCTAAGATAGAAATCTTGGAATTGCAGAATAAGGCAGAAATAATACTAATTATATCCAAGACCTGTAGATGATATGTTCACTCTGCCAAGCTACATGGATCTAGCTGCTTTCCCCTCTAAACCTGATAACTTCTGATGATATAGAATAGAAATATATATTAATAAAATAGAAATATATATCTTAATAGAAATATCTGGTATTCATGTCCATGTAATGAATAAGAATTCCTTTTCACCCTATAGTCATTATCTTGCAGTTTCATGATTTACTGCAGACTTGCCCATTTCTCATTTTATGAATGTATACTCAAGTGGAAATATTTATATTCTTTTTCTTCTCCCTTATTTTGCAAATCTGTTGACCAATCAAAATATGTATTCAAAATGTATATTAAGAAAAGCTGCTAAAATGTATAGAAAGACAGTTCAGTATCCTTACAGCAAATGAATTACTTTAAAAGTACCCACCATAGAAATTTTACTCTAGCAATTCCTTGGTGCTTAGTATTGGATAGGGTATGCAATTTCTTCAAAAGAGGGCTTCAAAATGTACAGGAGCACATAAGAAACAACTCTTTTCAGATTGTAAAAGCAGCTGCATCTTTTCTAGGCTTAGGCAGCTGCTTCAGAAGTTGTTCCCAATTGTTTCCACATGTATAGTATGTTCAAATAAAACCACTTTGCTTCTCATAAAAATTAAGAAAGAGGTATTTTGTACAGATCCCCACACGTTCCAAATTACCTTTTTTGGTAACCAGAGATTCAGATCCATGTTAAGTCAAGGTTTATATTTTCCTTTTCCTCTTTTCAAAAAAGCAGGTCAACCTGTATTTGTTCAGTTCCCCTAGCAGCATCAAAATCAATGAATGGCATTTCCTTGGCTTCCCTCCACCGAAGGAAGACTATCCTTTGATGATGGAGCATAGGAGGTAGATTTCTGAGAGCCTAACAGCTGCAAGGGAAAGGGGAATTACTGAACTTCTCCTTCTTGACCACTAATGGAAGGCTTCCCTCAGTGAAAGGAAATTGTGGGTTTCACCCTTCCCAGAGCACAGGTTGGAAACGTCCAGTCTAAATCAAGCCTTACTGAGAAAATAGAAAACAGTAAAGAAGATCAGAATTACCACATTCTCACTGCTGTTTGTTTTAAAAATAATGCAATGGCAAATATCCCACTGGTCAAATGGAACTATACTAAGGGTGCGAGAGGCTTACAGTAGTGAATAGTGTCTCATTTTAGTTGCAGTGAGAATCTTCATATTTTTAAAATAGTGGGGTGTTTTTTCTTTTAAATATGCCCTGCCAAGTAATGCCTGAGAAGAAAGCAGAATTAATTGGGGGGGGGGGGGCAGAGGGGGTTCAATTTATATGTGTCTATAAGGAAAAGTGCTAGCCAAAGAATGCTTTTCCTCAGCATGCCCTATTTTTAAATGATATGTTTAGGGGAAATTATAAATAGGTTAACAGCTTAGTCTTAATAGTCAGAAACTGAAATTGAAAATAACATTTTATTCCTTCATTGTGTTCCTTTCTAGAAACCCAGTTATCCAATATCAAGGGAAGTTGAAAATCTGTCAGAACAGATTATCTACCATAAAGGCTTATTTTTTTCTTCTTTTTTCATGTGACTATTTTTTTCAGAGTCTTCTGAGAGAAAGCATAGTATTTAATTTGATATGGTCATTGTTTCCAAGGAAAAATTAAATAGTGTGCTGTACTCACTAGTCATTTCAATTTTGCACCCTTTTGTTCCTGTACAATCCAGACAATTTTCTTATATGCTAAAAAAATTAGACTTGATTTTTCATGGTAAACCATAATAGCAACTCTTTAACTAGCTCAGAGCATTAGATTGGACAGAATATCCAGTCTTCTCTTTGAGTTTCCCTACCTTTCAGTAATCCCAAATATTACATTTTAAAGGTAGAAACACACAATGGAAAAGTTCAGTTAAGCAATTCCAATTTACATTTTGTTTACTCTTTCTGTTTTCTTTTAGCAATGCCTTTGAATCTGAGGCAACATTACTTCATGCTGATATGCCAAGAAAGCTTTGGCATGTCAAAGTGTTTTATGACAGCTTGAATAAAGGACCATCAAAGACCCATTTGAAATTCACAAGGTTACCTCCAATTCAGGCCCTTACTAGAAGTGCAAGGAGATGGTACATTCTCCATCTGCTTGCCTGAAAGCATAATGTAGATGGTTAACCTATTGTGTTCAGCCTGTTCCTTATTACTTCAGAACATAAATAAGAATGAGCACTTATCAGCTCCAGAAACTGAGCCATTATCATTAGTACTAATCATAGTTGCTGTTTTCACTTACTGAAAAATGCTGTGCATAAAAATTAACATTTGCAGAATATTTGAAATATTTATTTTAGAAATCGTTAGCATGGCCATATAGTTAGAGATGACTTCTATACTATTAGCATTGCATTTCCATGACATTACATGAAAAAACACATCTATGACAATTGATATCTGTAATAACTCAGATGCTGCAGTTTGTTATCCATTTACCAGGGAGTAAATCTCCCTGCACACAAAGGGATCCATTTCTGAGTAAATATGTGTAGAATTCCTACGTTAATGTCTTGGGCCTGCTCATTTCATTCATAGAATTTTGGAAAATGTTGAATCCAGTGTCTGAACATTCCTCCTTAGGTGTCTTCTGTTTTAGTATCATTCCCTCACACACACCCTTTTTTTTTTTTTTTTTGCCAAGCCACATTAATTTTACTGATTTTTTTCCCCCACATTCCTTGGCCAGCTTGAGAAGATAGTCTTTGTATTCAATAACAGATGTGTTCTGAAGAACAGAGTTCCTTTCCCTTCTGGCCAGATTAACTAATGTGCAATTTTGGGGTGGCAAATTAAGAAATTTTGATAACACTGATAAGCCTATTTCATATTCACCATTGGGGAACAAATTGTCAGAACAGAGACCAAATTCTTAATAATGATAATCTTTTCAGAGCTCAGGAGTACATACATACAGTATATTCCAGAATACATACATTCATACTGATATGGTAGAACTTTTCAAAATAATAAAATGTGATTACCAAAGTATCATTGAAAAGTAGAAATTAGTACTTGTCAGGGCCAAATATAAGTTGTGCTTCCAGTTCCTAACTCAGAAGCAATAAAAGTACAGTTTGAGTGATGCCTGGCACAGATGCCTATACTGGGGAAAAGAGAAGCTTAGGTCTGATTTATTAATCCCTCTTCCAATTGACCACCCTGTAAAACTGTTTGCTGGCCATAAACATAAGCAAATCTGAGTGTTTCCTGAAAAATACTTGATTGCCATATACCAAATAGCTTTTTCTAATGCCATCACTCTGCTTCCTCCTTGTGGGTTTATGAGAGATCCAGATGAAAAAATCCCATTTATAAAATGTATTTATACCATGTTGCATATTTTTATTAGAACAGAAAAATCTGTTAAGGAGGGAAATCAGAATGCCTTTACAGTGTTTCTGATTGCTTCAGCTAGGATACCTCATGTGTGGAAGCTTGACAAAAGCTTTCCAGTTCTAGGGAATATTTTGCATAATTAAATCTCGGGGTTGGATGCATCATAAACGGTTTGCTTCATCACAGTCATGCTTTCTTACATCATTACAGTTAAATTTCCAGGCACCAAAACCTACATTGACCCTGAAACCTACGAGGATCCCAATAGAGCAGTCCATCAATTTGCCAAGGAGTTAGATGCTTCCTGTATTAAAATAGAGCGTGTGATTGGTGCAGGTAAGATGACTGGCTTCCGTATACAATTCTTGCATTTAAGCAAATCAAAACTCATATTTCATGATGACAAGCCAATAATTATATTTACTTATGGAGCTTTTTGCTGGTATCAGGGTAATTAGAGGCAACGAAGCTACACTTGCTCATATATGTAAAACAAACAGCCCAGTGGTCCCAAACATTTGTTTTTATTTAGGAAAAATAAATACTATTACATATTATCAATGCAAATAAGTTGTTTTGGCTTACACATTATTAAAAGAAATTACACTTGAGTTCAAATGCAGACACCTATATACTTTGCCAAATACTCCCATTAAATTACAGAGGCAACCTTACATGTGCATGAAAAGGATCTGCCTATGAAGTTAGATCATATTTGTTCCGACTAGGAATTGGTTTATAGAGCAAGCTTTTCTTCAGGGACTATTTTTGGTGCCATTCTTAACACATTTCATTGCTACAAGAAGTTCTTGTCTTGGCTCTTGTGAGTGATGGTAATTGTGCTGTCATTACATTGCTTTCCTTCCTTTTTCCACATACTTAGGCAATGGTGTTCGTGCTCTGGAAACCTGTTTCCATTTGTTTGCATTAATAAGAGATGTGACATTTTCATTACACTAGTTCATGTAGTGAAATTAAGTATCCATGGGCAAGAAAGATGTCAAATACCGGAGACTCCTGGAGGAAACATTCTTTGATTTCCTGTTGTTTTATGGTATATCTTTAAAGACCTATTTTTCTTTAGATCACCATTGCAGCAGTATGACAAGTCCTATAATGTGCATATAATTTGAAAAGAAGGAAGTGGTCTTTTAAAAAAAAATATATGAAAGACAGATCAATCCCATGAATATTTATATAGATGTAATTTCCAGTCACTTCAGTTATGTATATATTCTTTATTTATTCCTAAATCAGTGATTATAGGATTGCAGTTACAGAAAATGATATCGTCTTTAATTAAAATTATGTTCCAGTGTAGACTCTGAATCGGAATCTCTTTTAATGTATGGTTTTTCAATTGAACTTCACAAAAGATGCTCCAGAAATACATTTGAATAAGAATTTGTATTGCCAGTATAGTACCATGGGTTTTGATGCTATGTTGGATCCACATTTAGAACCTTTATGTGCAGAAACATCAAGTGAAAGTTTGAAGTATAAAAACCAAATGCGAACTTTTAAAACCATATTCACATATTTACCTAAAGTTAGAATCATAATAACCTAGCCATAAACATTTCCATACTACAATACAGGTACAATACAGTCATGGGAACTGGATCCTCCATGCAATAGAAGGTTCTCTTTTGAATGACTGCTGCTGGGAAAACTTGCTTACTGGGAAAAAAATTTTTCCATCCTTGGCAGATGTACAGGGCAGCTCTTCAGAATCCCCAAATGCACACATACTGTAGACAGTCACAGAGATGACTTTAGAGACACTAGACAGAGGCCACAGTTGGATAAACATGTGTTAAGCCCAGGAAACAGAGAAAGCTTGAGAAAGAAGAGTCACAGTGACTCCCTCTAATTTATTGGAGTAAAAGAAGAAGGGAGTAAAGAAAGGAAAACTCAGTCAGTCCTTCAAGATTCTGTTACTATAGCCTATATCTCTAAAGTATAGCTCCAGTCAGACTTGTGGATTCAGTTTCCTGACCTGGCCTACCTCGAAGGACTGACACATAAACAAATATCTCTGCTTTGTCTGGGGTTGCAAATTGAAAAGTGCCAGACACTTTAGCATAAGTATCTAAACTGCATTTCTTTATGACTTAATTCAGGAGTCATACTTACCAAGGAATATTAAGAGGGAAGTGGCCCAGATATCCTAGTTTGACAAAATCAAGAACGAATATCCACATCACTCATAAAATGTAAAGATAGAACTTCTCTATGACAAGTGGTACTGAAATTTCAGCAGTTTCCTCTGCTATTGTAGTGCAATTGTCCATGGAATAAAAGCTCTTAGCCTTTCGGTGGTTGATGTCATGTTTGATTTTGATGTCTGCACTGTAATTTTCTGCATTTTCTGCTGGCAAGTTTATGGTAGACAGCAGTGCCTATGTATAATAGACAATATCTGGGGCACTGCTTCTTCTGTTTATGGCATATGGTTTTTGTAATTTCTGGATTGCTTAAAGAATAAGCTGAACTGTTGACATTTAGAACCTGATCTTACAAGCATTAAGTATTTTTGTATGCCTTTCTTTCAGTGGGCTTTTCTAATTAAGTATTGTGTTTAAAAATATTTAATTTTTTGGAAGTGATAAAAGACTGACATGAAATCGTAGCATGACCAAATGGCTGCTGATTTTCTGGTAGCCCCTATCCTAATTCTGGATGGAGTTGCAATCCCCCTGATGGGGCAGGTTTATAATTTGGGTATGCTCTTGGACCTATGGCACCTGCTAGAACAGCATTTAGAGGCCCAGGCTTCGGTTAGTGTACCAGTTTGAACACTTTTTAGAACAGGAGGCTTACTGACAGATACTTAAACTCCTATTACTTTGGACTACTACATACACTTTAGTTGAGATTGCCCTTGAAGACTGTTCAGAAACTTCAGAAAGCTGCTACAGATGTACTATACCAATACTGTCAGTGCAGCAGTGGTTGTCAGTTTCTTTCCTAGTAAATTCAAGGTGCTGAGTATTACCTTATATGACTATCACCCGCCTCAGCTGAGCTAAGCTACAGACTCCCAAAGTTTTTGTTTCAGTTTCTCTTTTTTCTATTTAGCCAGACCTAGGGTGGGATGAGGATTTCTCCTTCAGTCCTCTCCTGTTTCCCCAGAGGGCTGGTGTGGAAGGGAGAAACCAGGTTATAGTGAAGTATAGTGGCAGCAAGGAGGCCTAATTTTTTAGTCACTGTTCACTCAGAACTGAAGGGTTCACCATTGCCACAAAGGAGGGTCTGGTTCAAGCCTGAGGGCACCTTTTCCTTTATTACACTCCTCCTTGACAAATCAAACAGGGGTGGAATATGCCTTTTCCATTGCTGCCCTGTCTCCCCGTGAAATATGCTGCCTTCTGAAATCCATATGGACCCAACTCTTACCTTTCTGCAGAGAAACAAAGCCAGCTCTTTATTTTATTTATTTCTTTGTTTATCAAACTTATGTGGCTGCCCATCTTGTGAATGTGACTCTGGGTGGTGTACAGTAAAAACAAAACAATTAAAACACATCTTAAAATAACCATAAAAACATGAAACATGCATCTCACATGGGTGAATATTTAAAAACTCATACATAATAAAGCCATCTCACGGGCTCCCTGTTCCCAAGAAATCCTCAGGCCTGCTGGAAAAACCATGTCTTGAGAGATTTCTGGAAGGCTAATAGGATTGGGGCCAGCCTCACCTTGCCGGGGTGGAGGGAGAATGATGTTCCAAAGGTTGGGTACTATGGAGCTCCTTAGCAGATGGGATCTGCCACATTTCCTACCTGTCTAAGCTGATGGGATGGGTAGATGTAATCAGGAAGAGGCGGTCCCTCAAATACCCTGGTCCTATGCCATGTAGGGCTTTAAAGGTCAAAAGCAGCACCTTGAATTGGACCCAGAAGCAGATGGCAACCAGTGGAGTTCATGGAGCAGAGGTGTAACGTGTGCCACCCTAGGGACGCCTGTAACTGCCATGCTGCCACATTTTGCACCAGTTGAAGCTTCCGAATACTCTTCAAAGGCAGCCCCATGTAGAGCACGTTACCATATTCCATTCAGGAGATGACCAGGGCATGAGTAACTGAGCAGAGCCTCCCAATTCAGGAATTGGCATAACTGATGCCCAAATTGGAGTTTACAAAGGCCCTCCTAGCCACAACTGCACAACTTGAGCAGGAGTCAGGAGTCCAGAAGGACCCCCAAGTTGTGCACCAGGTCTCCTTGGGGCAGTGCCACCCCATTCAGTAAGTACCAAAGGTGGTAAAGTCCCAGAACTGGAAGGTCCTAAAACCCAAAGCCACTCAGTGTTGCCAGTTTTCATCTGAAGCCTGTTGTTCTCCAGCCAGACCCTCACAGCCTCCAGGCACCAAGACAGGACTTCAACAGCATCACTTAATTCACCAGAAGTAGAGAACAATTGAGTTCAATTGAGTGTCATTAGCATACTGATGATACCTCACTCCATGGCAGCGGATTATCCCACCCAACAGCTCCATGTAGTAAACAGGAGTGGAGAGAGTACTGAACCCTGCAGAACCCTGCATAGCAGAGGTCGATGTTGGGACTTCTCATTCCCAATCATCACCTACTGGTACTGGCCCCACAGGAAGGAAGAGAACCAAGACAATACAATGCCACCCATTCCCATTCCATGGAGCCAATCCATGGTTGATGATATCGAAGACTGCCAAGAGGTCAGATAGAGCAAGGATGGATGCACTACCCCACATCCTGCTTCTGCCAGAGATCACCCAAAAGCATAACCAGGCCCATACCCAGGCCTGAATCATGACTGAAAGGGATCCAGATAATCTGGTTCATCCAGGATCTGCTGAAATTGCTGTGCGACAACCTTGTCCACAATCTTCCCTAAAAAAGGAAGGTTGGACACTGGACAAAAAATGTCCAGTATGCTGGGATCAAGCAATGGCTTCTTGAGGAGGGGGCAAACAACATTTCCTTAGGTGGAGGAACAATGCCTTTCTCAAGGAAGAATCCACCACCTCTAGAACCATTCACACATTTCCCCCACCCCAGCAGCTTTAGCTAGCCAAGAGGGGCATCAATTTAAGGAGCAGCTTGGCCAAGGTCACAGTCATAAGGACCCTGTCCACTTCCTCAGACCCAACAGGTTCAAACCATTCCCAGATAACAGGGCAAGACTGTGCCCAAGGCATCTCCTCAGGACCTGCACCAAAGCTGCAAAGCTGGCATCTAACTCAGAACAAATCCAAGCAAACTCTTAAATGCTTTAAGGGAGGATTTTGAGATGGGTCATTTTTAAAGCTTGGAGGGGTTTTTTTTCTTCTTAATTTCTTCTTTTATATTGTTGTTACTTTATGATTTTTTGCTTGCTGCCCAGAGTCTCTGGAGCAGGAGAGTGAGTGAGTGAGTGAGTGAGTGAGTGAGTGAGTGAGTGAGTGAGTGAGTGAGTGAGTGAGTGAGTGAGTGAGTGAGTGAGTGAGTGAGTGAGTGAGTGAGTGAGTGAGTGAGTGAGTGAGTGAGTGAGTGAGTGAGTGAGTGAGTGAGTGAGTGAGTGAGTGAGTGAGTGAGTGAGTGAGTGAGTGAGTGAGTGAGTGAGTGAGTGAGTGAGTGAGTGAGTGAGTGAGTGAGTGAGTGAATGTTTAAAACCACTTCAACTTTTTAAGGTGCTGAACTTTGGATTGGATTAGCTTTTGTCCTTTTACTGATTTGATTTTCATTTTCCAACATATGGGAACATTGTGCTGTGTCTGTTATCAGTGTGAACTAAAATGGTTCTCTTACAAATAAATATTTCTTTAAATTCAGGGGAGTTTGGCGAAGTATGCAGCGGCCGTCTAAAGCTTCCAGGCAAAAGAGATGTTGCAGTGGCCATTAAAACCTTAAAAGTGGGCTATACTGAAAAGCAAAGAAGGGATTTTCTTTGCGAGGCAAGCATCATGGGACAGTTTGACCACCCCAATGTTGTTCATTTGGAAGGAGTTGTTACCAGAGGTAGGTTGCGACCCGTTCTGATTTTTGAACAATTTTCAAAATTGTAGCTCATTATTATAAAGTTTCCATAGTATGTGGTTCATATCAGATCATTATATTGCATAAAGTAATAGACTTTTTTTTCTTTTGATGCATGACTAACTAAAGCAATTTTAAATGTATCCTACAGCTTGAGAAAAAAGCTTAAGATTTTTGCATGAAGAAGGGATGGTAAAACTTTATAGCCTTTTTTCTACTCCCATTTAGCATTAAATAAAATTCTTTATGTCCTTTCATATTAACTGAAGTGTCATTTTTCCAGAGTTCAGTTCACACAGCAGGAGACAGGAGAACACACTGACATTTTGATTTGTATGGTTTAATTTTTTGAGTCATGATCATTTTCTGTACACAGACATTTAAGGACTTAGTAGATCACAGGAACTATTTTGGAAGCGTTAGGAGCAGTCATGCCTCAGTTACTCATCTTTCAAAGAAACAACATGTTTTATCTGAATGGGGACATTCTGTTCTGATATAATTTCTTTAAACCAAATATGCCTCCCTTTTTCTATTTCTTTCTTTTAGGAAAACCAGTAATGATTGTAATAGAATACATGGAGAATGGAGCACTGGATGCATTTCTCAGGGTGAGTGCCTGAGGGAAACATATATAGCACTTCAAAAATAAAATATATGTGCTACCAATTTAACATAATAAAGCATTTTCAATGTAAAATGAGAACACACTAAGTTTCAAGAGATCTCTGAATGGTAAAATGGTCTTGGGAAAATCAGATTAGAAATTAGAAGACCAGACAGGATCAAACAACAACATTTTTGGCCATCTAAGTGATCCAACATGGCACAGATACAGTGGTTTTGATTAGCATCACAGACTAAGACCTGAAGCCATATTGTGGGAACACAGTTATGTCTTTTCTCCATTGCAGAAGAAACAGTCTTTAAAATAATGCAGAAATCATTCAAAAATCAGGAAAGCACTTTTTAAAAATCCCTACATTAGCATTAAGGAGATTTACATTATTTTATGTATTTATTATTTGTGGCAGACAACATGCAAAACTCTCACTTGGCCCACAAGAGCAGCATTTATAAATGTTAATAATATTAATATCAAAATATATTACATGGCTTTTAAAGTACAGTGTTGATATCACTGCCAGTCTTTTCTTTACTCACTCAGCAGTTAGTTTCCTATCATATGATCTGTGCTTATGATTTGTGTGTGTGTGTGTGTGCATGTGTGAATGTTCTATTTATGTTAATGGACTTGGTTTAGTGGTTCTTTTTCATGTGATCAGCTTGTTCTTGTGATTAAAATATCCAGCAGCATGAGATAAAACTTGAGAAAGCAATTCTACTCAGGTATCATTATGTGAATAAATATGATTGGTTTACAAATATGAGATTGGGGTTTTTTAGCTGCAGTATAGAAAATTGAAGACATATACTGTAAGGTTTTTTTGATAATTTGTGCAAATGTAAAAGTTTTTCTTTTAGGATAAGATTTAAAAGGATGGAATTTTCTGCCATACCCACTGTATTTTGTTGTTTATATAGGGTCAACTAGCTACTTTTATACTTCCCTGATTCATTATTTATTATTCATGATTACTCAGATGAGTGTATAGGTGTATAATCTTGAGTATAAATTTGTATGTCCCCCAAATACTAAAGGCCATAATATACAGCTTCAAACATGTATATGCTATAGAAGTGCACATTTCTTCATTATTTTAGAATATTATTTCTTCATTATTTTAAATTATTAGAAATAATACTACCCCCTTCCCCTCAAAAAAAAAAAAAGTGCTTGGAATGGATGGAATTATACTTGTGAATTGTAATGGTTCTGAATTTTTAAAGCATTTGAACAGCCCTACGGTAGATGTATGTGTACACGTATATAAGGATTTGCACACATACTCCCAGGGCATAAAAGCATACATTTCACTCCTGAAAACGCCCCAATAATGGATCCCAACCTCATTTATATTCAAAGATCAGCTCTTGAGCCAAAAAAAGTTGTGCACTCCTGTCCTAGTACTATCCTGCATTTAGATTCTAAAAGGTAGAAACTGAACATGTTTCCTTTTTTCCCCCTCAACTACTTTAAGGAGCATCTCCCTGTTTCTGTCTTCATTTCAGAAACACGATGGACAGTTTACAGTAATTCAGCTGGTTGGGATGTTGAGAGGAATTGCTGCTGGAATGAGATACTTGGCAGATATGGGATACGTACACAGGGACTTAGCAGCACGCAATATTCTGGTCAATAGCAATCTTGTTTGCAAAGTGTCAGACTTTGGCCTATCCAGAGTTATAGAAGATGATCCAGAAGCTGTCTACACTACAACTGTGAGTTGTACACTAAAAAGAAAAAATCTACTCCAATATACCCTCATTTTCATACGCAGTGAGACGTTACGTTGGGTTTGCTTTGGAAGAGAAGGTACCAGATATTTATTAGGGGATTTTGTTTTGTTTTGTTGTTGTAAAATTTCTTATTTAACAAATACTCAAAAAACTGCATACTACAACATCATGATATAAGTAGAGCATAAACAGAGTTGCAGGTGGGGGGGGAAGCAGAAAGAGCAGCTGGAAGATGTGGCTTCTTCCAGTTGCTCTTTCTGTCCCCCCCCCTTTCTGATTGTTCATAATTTCCTGTGAACCATTTATTCACTCAGACACTTTGTCCTCTAGAGAAATGCTTGTATCATCTTCTCTATACACCAGTGGCTTTCTAACTGAAAAATCTCTATTTCCCAAAGATTAGCTCCCATTGAAGGGAGCTTCATTTAACTATCCTAGACTGTTAACCTGAACTATTAACAAGTCATCTTCCTAACAAAGGACTTAGTTGATAAATTTGTAGTATCAATAAGAATAAGAATGTGATAAACCTCTACACAAATCTCTCACAATTGTTTAAAATAGCTTTTTTCTTAAGAAATCTAAATTGCCTTAATACTGTTAACTCTTATAATAAGGGAAGCAGCAGCACATTGTTTAGAGTCTTGCTTGCA